GGGGGGGGGGGGGGGGGGGAGGATTATTTTCTGGTACCCAAAACTTAAATCAATGAAATTGGGTGCCTATGTTTTGAACCATTGTTTTGAATTTGCTTTTGACTAATCTTTGGCGCCTCTTGGTTGCCATTTTTGCTACGACTGATGCAAAACGTTTTGCTTCATTAGAATGCAAGAAATTGGGTGTGTTCTGAAGAACCACTAGACACACCGGTGAAGATCGACTGTAAAGATGACTGTGACCAAGTGTCTGCAGGTATGTTTTTACCCAGGGATATTTATATAAAGATTTTACTATCCAAATCACAAGTAATATCCAGCGCCATTGTTATAGTTAATTTTCGTATTGTTTTACTTTTGCCGGCTATATTCACAACGAACAATCAGCGCAGCGCCTGAAATTTCGAGGAATGTGATTGGTTGTTCGGTACTGTCTAAAATTAGCTGACTACTGAAACACATCAGACGCCACCTTATACCAGATGGACGCTTCTAGATGGACTTCTACACGTACCTTTGTCAAAACTTTGTGTTTTTAAAAGATGTTATGGAAACACTTTGATTGACGTCCACCAAAACCCAAATATGTCGAGATGGCAAATTGTACGATTCCGCACGTGAGATTGGGAAGCACCATAAAAAAAAACAAGCTCACAATAAGATGAGAGCTTTTCGTTACTGTTTTTCCTCTTGCTTTTTCAGGGACGAATGAACATACCATGACGTCTCACCTTGCCAAAGATTCGGTCTTCAATTTTTTCGAAGAAAAACTAAGTGGTACGTACGTAAGCAATAACTGATCTATGGGGACATTTTCCGACGAAGGACTAACGTCCGAAACATCATTCAAGTCATAGCTTTTTTCTACGGTGTTCAATGTACTTATATTATACGGAGGCAAGAGAATATAAAGTAAGAGAGCACATCTGCCATACATGGGTCTCTAACCATGAAAGTTTTTTGAAGATCTATTTTTAGCCCCGCGCGCAAGTCTGAGCTATTTTTAGCATGCGATTCCTGATTGGTCAGATTGTAGTGACTTCGAGGCGAAGGAAAAAATTTTAGTTTCCGACGAGTAGATTTAAATGTCTTATAAATCAGACATTAAAATGAACTTTTATGTAGTCTTCATGAATGATTAATCTTTTTAAAAACTTGTAAAAAAATGTAAAAGTCGAAAGCTTGGTTCAAATACAATAACAATAGCAAAAATGGAATTTAACATATGCCAGCGTGCTAAGAAATCAGTTTCAAAACTTTATTAAAATCTTATTGATCTTTATTAATTCAATCTATCATGCAGCTGCATCCAGCTTCATCAAACCTACGCAGTTGACCAGGATACCTCTCCAGTATCAGCCGCATGAACTAGATTCGGTTTATAAGATGACCAGTAGCCCTAGAGGACTTGCTGTGATTGTCAACATGAACAACTTTCAACCTAAAGCAAGAGTTCACAACAGGAAAGGCTCAGAAAAGGATCAACAGGGGCTTGTAAATTTATTTGAAGAGCTTGACTTTAGAACCAAAACGCTCGTTGACCTCACTAAAGAAGAACTCTTGAGTGAATTCCAAGACATTACCAAGTACCATTTCGGAGCCTACGACTGCTTAATTGTCTGCATCATGAGTCACGGGGATGAAGACTATTTCGTAGCCTGCGACGGAGGAAAGATCAAAACCCAAAGCATCCGTGAAATGTTTAATAACAAAAACTGCGAGACACTTTGCGGAAAACCCAAGCTTTTTTTTATCAACACCTGTCGAGGAGAACTCGAAGATCCTGGAACAGTAGTCAAGGAAAGTGGGTCCAAATTGTCTGTAAAACCTCAACCCTCGCCAGAGCCAAAAGCCTACACTGCTGTCGAGAATTGTGGTAGGGAAACTACGGCAGAAAATGCGGATATACTCACTGCATTCTCCACCGTTGAGGGGTACTGCTCTTATCGTCATGAAGAGGAAGGGAGCTGGTTTATTAGAAGCTTGATAGAGGTTTTCAGAGAATATGCTGGTGTGGAGGATGTGACGGACATGCTGATTCGAGTGAATAAAGAAGTGAATTCTAAAGGAAGTCTGGGGAGTAAGCAAGTGCCAGAACCAAGAAATACTTTGACTAAAAAAGTATTTTTTTGGCCAGGAATGAAATTTAAACAATATTGAAATTTGAACAGTGTTGTCGTGTTGCTCCATTCATTCTTCTTAGAACTATCAAACTTCCAGTAGGACGGACTGCTAACACTGACATTTTCTCTTATTAGGCCTAATTTAGAATATGCGGTACCAGTCTGGTCCCCATATCTCGTCAAAAATATACACGCTTTAGAAAAAGTGCAACACAGAGCTTCTAGATTAGCGCTTCGTCAAAGAAAAGGGGAAAAGTCCTACGAAGACATGTGTAAGCAATTGGGGTGCACCAAATTATCTCTTAGGAGGGAATATTTATCTTTAATAGAGTGCTATAAGATCGTCTTTGGTCACATTCACCTCAAGTTTCACGATAACTTTGAAGCTTAAAGACCCATTGCCACTTACCGTGATGCACCGCGGTCACAAATGAATTTCGTGGTCCATGAAATTCAAAGATTCATATATTGAATAATAACTTCATATTAAATCCTTTTCCGACATAGCATTAAGGCACAATAATGATTCTTTTACATTCTTTTACGGCCTTAGGGACTATCTAAGAGTTTATTCAAAAGGTTGGAATTGTTTTTTCAGTGGTGACACGATTCAAAATGTAAACAAATTGTGATGCATCACGGTAAGTGGCAATGGGTCTTTAAATCCACTACAGCAAATCACTCTTTTAAACTTTATCAGTTATGCAAGCAAAAGTTAATTGTTATAAAAATTCATTTTTCATAAGAATCATCCAATCTTGGAATAACCTAACTAAGAAAGTAGTTGAGGCCGACAATTTTTCTGCAATTAAAAAATGAGCAGAAAGCTCATTTAAGTATTTAATTTAGTAGAGTGCACCGCACTAAGACCGTGAACATTAAATAGTACTAATTAGTACTATTTCATACAGAATCCTTTGTTTTCTATTGTTTAATTATCACTATTTAGTGCTAAAAATTAGTATTTGTTTCACGGATTTAGTG